GGTAGGTGCTCAGTAAGCACGAGCGGCTCTTGGGAGACATCGTGGCGGGACCGAAACCGCTGAAGCTGGTTGACCGCGTGCTCGGATCAGGAGCTGACTAGGACATCACGGTTACTTTGTGTTTATGGCCTAAGTGGCCTCCCAGGTTCTAATTTCACTCCGTGTAACCCTGAGAAGCAACGGTCCCAGCTCCTATCACCTGGGAGGGCTTCCGGGGTTCAGAGACCACCCCGGGCCTTCACGGAGGGAGGGAGCTCAGAGAAGTCAGGCGACTTGGCCAAGATCACACAGCCAGTCGAGAGGTGAAGACTCGGGATTTCAGTGCCTGGCACTGGACCACGGCTGTGGGCCAGCCACCTGCCTTTGTAAATAAAACGTGACTGGAACACAGGCACGCTCACGGGCCCACGTGCGCCCGCTGTCCGTGTAAGCTTTCCGGCACAACGGAACATCTTCCAGAGAAAAGGTTTATTTACCATCTGGCTCTTTAAGAAAAGATCGCTGACCCCTGCACTAGACTGTGAGCACCCCAAGGGCAGGGTCTGGGTGCCGCTAGCGTTCTCTGGGTCCTTCGCTTTCGCACGATTCTACCTCCATTTCGCAGATAAGGAAACTGAGGCGCAGAAGGCGACTGGCCCCTCACCGTTTGGCTCAGGGGTGGCACCTGGCACTATGCTCCTGGAACCCACACATGCAGTCGCGAGCCTTTGCAGATGGACCTCGGGGATCCTGCGTGTTTGGTTCTGGACCATAGCGATAAAGAGAGTCACACCGGTTTTGATTCCCCGGGGACATGAAAGTTACATCTGCAGCAAGTTGCAGTATACTAAGTGTGTGCATTTTGTAGCTTAACTAAAAAATACTGCTAAAAAACACTAACCATCATCGAACCTTCGGCGACTCAGTCTTTTTGCCTTGGAGGGTCTTACCTTCAATTTGTAAAAAGCGCAAAATCTGCAGAGCACAGTTAAGTGAGGTAAGCCTGCACCGCCTCCCTTGGAGGCGCTGAAAGAATCTACAACGAAAGCTCTTTGTGAAGGCTGCACCCTGATGGCCCCGCTACACCCCAACTTCCTGCTGCTGGATCCATGGCTCATTCGCTGTGTGAACGGGGACCGGTGACGACTGCCCTGAGTTTAAGTTACCTCAGCTAAGAAGGGGGTGACAGTCACGATATGGTTCAGAGTTAAACTCAGTAAGCACTCAGCAAATACCCACTTCCATGGCTTCTGAGCAGGGTGTCGGTATACCCAGAAGCCCCACAGGGCAGCCGAGCCCCCAGTGGCCCAGCCTGGGACTGTGACCCAGCATGGCCCCCCATGTGCCATCTGACCCCTCTCTGGGACTCAGGATCCCCCATCAGACAGGGAGGTGGTGCACAGGCTGCCTCCCAGGCAGGTTGGCTCTTCAGGGGCGCTCGGGGTGGGCAGGGTCTGGGTCTCGTTCCTCGCTCACTCACCGATACGCTCGATCCTCGTCACATCACGGATCTCTGGGACCTTGGTTGTGGCCGTCTGTGGGTGGAGGAAGACGCGTCAGAAGAAAACTTGTAGTCCCAGTTTTCAGCAACTCCTCTGTCCTGCCTGCCCCATCCCATGAGAAAATCCTTCCCACTCCCCTCGCCGCAGGTAGGCGAGCGACCCCAATGCCAGTGACTCCCGCCCTTCTCCGCTGTCACCGACTAATGCTGGCTGGTTGACCTCACTACAGTCTGAGTCCCAGGAAGACGAGGATTGTGTCTGTCTCATTCGGAGCTCTGTCCCCACAGCCTAGCACATATTTGATGTCCAGGAATTATCTGGTGAAGAAGCAGCCCTCACCATCCCCCATAACTGTAAGGACAGGCACCAGCACAGAGCGGGCATCAAGCGGGCATCAAGCGGGCACGATCTGGCCTGATTTCCCAACCCCCCCTGCACCACCCCACCCCAGCTGTCACTAGGCCTTTGCATGTGCAGGTCCGAGTCCAGCCTCTCCTGACCCCCTCATTGAATTAGATCAAGCTCTGCTCACTACGGAAGGCCCTCCCTGACCTCTGCCAGGCTAGTTCTAGGGTCTCTAGATGTCTAGACAGGAGGAAGGGCCTCCCTTGGGAGTCCGGTGCCCCTGTGTAATCTCTCTCTCATGAGGGAGACTCGTAGATCAATGTTCTTGACTCCACGGACGTGTGTCCCACGAGGGCAAAGCCCGCCCCTCATTTGTTCACCTCGGGCTCAGCGTTTGGGGTTTGAATGATGTACCGAAGTGCTGAGCTCATTCAGAAAGCAGGTACTGAGGCCTCCTGTGTCCCTGGCTCACCAGAGCGAGAAGCCAGCCACCATCCCTCCCCATGTGGGGGAGGGAGATGCACACATACCACGGAGATGAATGTGCATTATTCATAACCAAAAGGTGGGGACAACCTGAACGTCCATCAACAGATGAACAGATGAAAACAGGTGGGTTATCCACCCAGTGGAATATTATTCAGCCATTCAAAGGAACAAAGTTCTGATCCACGCTACAACTTGGATGAACCTTGAAAACATTATGCTGAGTGAAAGAAGCCAGACACAAAGACCACATATTGTCTGATTCCATTCATATGAAATGTCCAGAACAGGGAAATCCATAAAGACAGGAAGCAGACTAGTGGCTGCCTAGGGCTGGTGGTCTGACAGGATTGAAGGGTGATAGCTGAGAAGAGGTTTTTTTTTTTTTTGAGGTTATGAAGATGTTCTAAAGTTGACTGAGAGAATGCTTAACTCTGTGAATGTACTAAACTACTTATTTTAAATGAGTAAATTGTATGGCATGTAAATTACATCTCAAGAAAGCTGTTTTAAAAAATCTGGGTGGTGGGTCCTTGGGTGCCTATTATTTTTTGACGCTTTGGAATATGTCATAATTTCTGATCAGGAAAGGGAAGCCTAAGAAGCCAGCATGCTGACCCAGCTCCTCGGCCACCTGCCCCAACCCTCCAACCCAAGGGAACCAGCTCTCTGCTCTGGAACCTAGAGTTTAGACTTCCCGAGGTCCACATGGTGAGAAGGCTCTGTCCCTGCTGTCTGTGGCCCCTCCCACTTACTCTCTCAGAGGAGGCTGGGAACCAGGACCACTGGCCACTGCCCCCAAACCACTATCAGAAGACTGAGAACATACCAACGGATGCCTGCGCAGCCTATCTGACCCCATTGGAGGCAAAAAACGGACACGGATCCCAGAATCTCAACCCTTAGCAATTTCAGCAGAAACAAACCCAGCTCCTACAAGGCCTTTCCTTCACCACAAGCCTCTCTGACCCCCTGCTGCCCGCTAACCCCATGGAAACGGGTCATTTTAAAACTAGCACCCGCCAGCCCCTCGTCCCTCCAATACTTCATCCACACCCATGGGACCTGAGTCTCAGGAGTACGGCCGCTGCCCTTCCCTCTTCTGCTTCCCTATTCACCCCCTTGCCATGGTAACAGCAAGACTCAAATTTCACCCCCCTCCCCCCAGGCACCAGTAACTCTCACCCCCATCCTTCCCCCATCTTGACTGGGGTCACCATGGTAACCTGTGCATCTGGAAGCTCAGTCCAACCCCCGAGCTAAGGTCGCATCCCTTCTCCATTCAGGTGTTTATTGAACAAGTACTTGGAGTCAGGCCCAGTGAACCTGGGCCCACTTTAATAGAGTTTACGTTCATTCATTCAAAGAGTCACGTGATAATTCACTGAGCATCCATCCACACTGGGCATGCCCCGTATGAGGTGTTGGAAGTACGAGTGGGGGGCCCCAGCCCTTTCCCTCTCCGCTGACACCCTCTAGGTTCTCGACACTCCTTCTTTTGGCTCAAGACTCCCTAAGCGACTCCACGCTCTCAAGCACACGGGACAGGTCCTGCCTGAGCTTCTCCCGTGTACTCGGACGCCATTCACACCGTCATAACCCGAGACTCCTGGATGCCTTGGAGCCCAAGACATACAACCCTCAATGGACTTCAGGGCGAAGGACTGCAGAACTGGCCACTGACTGCACCCAGGGGGCTGGAAGTTGGAGCTGCTATAACATGATGGGGTCAGTTCTGACCACCGAAACAGTAAACATCCACGTGAATCCAGGAATCCGGGCCCCCAGCATCCTCCTCCCCCAGCCCCGGGAGTCCGGGCCCCCAGCCCCTCCGACCCCAGCCTCGGGAGTCCGGGCCTCCAGCCCCGGGAGTCCAGGCCCCCAGCATCCTCCTCCCCCAGCCCCGGGAGTCCGGATTCGCTCCTCCGTCCCCAGCACGCCGGCACTTACCACGGTTGCCATGATGCTCACCAACCGCCAATATCCTAACGGAAACGGAAACGCTCTAGGAACGAGGCGTTCTGGCCCCTCTAGACTGCCGGGTCCTCCAAAGATGTCGGTGGTTCCTCATAAATATGCAAACTCTCCAAGTAAGGGCGAGACGTCGCTTTTGAGGCCGAAACTCCTGGGTGGGTTCCCAAGGCCTTCTGGCTCCTCCTCCTTTTACCCAAGCCTCCTTGCTGAGGCCGATTGCAAAATTCTTAGCAGTTCTTTGAGCAAGCACACGTCCCCCACGCTCCCTTTCCTTCTTATTCCACCCACTTCCCTCCCCCCGCGCCTTTGGGGCCTCAAGCTTCAGATGGGCAGAGCCGAGGGCCAATCAGCTAGCGCAACGACCGCTAGGGCGGTCTCGGGGCGGAGCGAGCCCCACGCTGTCCACCAATGAGGATGCGCGAGAGACCCCGCCCCGAGCGCGAGCCAATGGCGCTGGCAGGGGGACGGGCGCCGCCTCCTGGCGGCCGCAAGGCTTTACTGCCGGGGGCCCTCAGCGCTCAGTGACGCTGCGGCTGCCTGCTGCCTAGGTCCGAGCGCCCCAGGACGGGGTGCGGTCGTGCAATAGGAAGCCGAAGGCGTTGCAAGCTTCCCTTCGGGCACCAGCTACCTGGCCCCACACCCTGCCTGGTGCATTCCTCGGACGCCTCCGGAGCCCCTACTTGTGGCCCTTGGAGTCCCCTTCCCGCGTCAGCCATGCCTCTTAGCCGCACTTTGTCCATGTCCTCACTGCCAGGACTGGAGGATTGGGAGGATGAATTCGACATGGAGAACACAGTGCTCTTCGAGGTGGCCTGGGAAGTGGCCAACAAGGGTGAGCACGCCAGGCGGCGGGGCCCGGACGAGAAGGGCAGTCGGGGACGGGTGCCCGGGACTCTTGAGGGGTAGGGGGACAGGGCTACATAGCATGACTCCTGGGTTCTGGGCAAGGAGCCTATGACTCCTGTGTCCTTGGGGAAGAGCTGCGATGTGTCTCCTGGCCCTGGAGGAGTGGGGATGAGTCTCCGGGGTCCTGGGTCCTGGGGAGGAAGAGGCTAAGATGAAAGATTCCTCCGTCCCGGAGGGAGGTTTCTGAAAGACCAGAGACCTGGGTCCTGAACAGGGAAGGAGGTGGGTGGTGGGAATGGGGGTAAGGTTGCACTTCTTAGTGCAAACTTGGGAGACGGGTAGGTTTCAGAGCAGCGGCCGTCCGCATTTGGGAGCGAGCTGACCGGGGACGGGATGCATAAGTCGTGAAGGGAGAAGGGAGGAACTGGTCACTTGAGTGTAAAGATGAGAGGGGGCTGCGGACCCTAATTCTTAGATCCCAGGGTGGGAAAGGGTTGGGGGCCTGAACGCCTGGGCTCTGGAGGTGCTGAGGGCCTGAGCTACGGATTCCTAGAAGGAGAGGAGCCTGTGGCCACACACGTATGGATACTGGAATGAGGGAAGGCTGGCAAGTCCCAAGTTGGTCAGGGGCTGGGCCCTGGGATGGGAGTGGCTGGGGCCCCGGATTTCTGCGTGCAGGCCTCAGAGAGCCTGAGGTTCAGGGTGTGAAGAACCAGGGGAGGCTGTTAGCCCAAGAGCTAGGCGGTCTCACCGCTCACAAGAGAGGAAACTGGGGTTTTTCTTAGCTGAGTCTTGGGAGAGAGAGAAACTGAGCCTTACACCATGGGAGGGGCCGGCAAACACTGAGCCATGTATCACCAAGGCCCAGATTTCAGGAAGTAAGGAGGCTGGGGGCCCAGACTCATGGGTCTGGAGTGGAGTCCTGGGAGGAGCAGGGCCCCGCCTGCCTGTCTCCCTGGTTGGGGAGAGGAGACTGGGGGACAGGTCACCAGAGTCCCTGCGGGACGAGGGAGTCCTGCTTCTCTTGGGCAACTGTGGGAAGCTGAATAGGGTCCTCCTCTGTCATAGAGCCTGGCTGAAAATTTAAATCCAGCTCTCGTAAGCCGGGAACACAGGAGTCTGGGTCCTGGTAATCCTTGTCGGCGTCTGTCTTCTTTGGGAACCCGGCCCCTAATTCCCCCAGACCCAGGAGCTCAGGCCCCCAGCCCCATCTCCCAGACTCAGAAGTCTAGCTCCCCTCTCTCTTAGGCCCGGGAGGACTGTCCTCCGGCCCCTTACCCCCTCCTCCCTCTGACTGTGATTCATGGGCCCCCAGTCCCCTCTTCCCTCTAAGCCACCGGTCCAGGGCCCCAGAACCACCCATGGTCCCCCACCCTGCCCCAGGGCCCAGACCTGTGCACCTCAGCTGGGGCCTGTCCTCATGCACTTGGGCCCACAGTGGGTGGCATCTACACGGTGCTGCAGACGAAGGCGAAGGTGACAGGGGATGAGTGGGGTGACAACTACTACCTGGTGGGACCGTACACGGAGCAGGGTGTGAGGACCCAAGTGGAACTGCTCGAGCCCCCGACCCCAGCTCTGAAGAGGACGCTGGACTCCATGAACAGCAAGGGCTGCAAGGTGGGACATGGCTCGGCCGAGGGCAGGTAGGTGGGGGCTTGCCGCCAGGGTGGGAGCAGCAGATGGAGAAGGGGTGGAGTTGGAGCCGGGGGGACAGCCCCAGGGAGAGAGGGAGGCGTGGACAGAAGCACAGGATAACCTGGTACTTTTTCCCAGGCAGACACAGGAGTTAAGATTGACACTCAGATCAGGATGCCATGAAGTGGGTGGGTGAACCCCAAGCTCTCAGACATTGGTGAATGGAGACAGACAGACAGACAGCAGGGACAGGACAGACTGAGAGACAGTTCCAAGAGGCGAAGATCATCAGACCCAAGGAGAGAGAAAAAGAGCTAGATGGAAAGACGGACAGCCAGACAGGACCCGGATGGGGGGGGCGGGGTGGGCATGGAGTGAGGCAGGTGGCCAGAGTAGGGTTTCTAGAGCCTGAAGTTCAAATTCAGCTTCTGCACTTCCTGCGGCCGTGAACTTGGCTAACGGAATCTGCCTTGTAGGGTTGTTGGGAGGATGAAATAGTTAATAAAGTCTTCAGCCCAGTTCTTGGCCTGAAGTTAGAACTGCGGGTGAGCTTTTATCGTTGTGGTTATTATTATCACCATCACCATTATTACTATAAACAGCCAAGCTCGCAGAGTGAGGTGGACAGGCAGACAAAGGGAGAGAGGCGGATGGAGAGAGACTGAGTGTCCCAAAAGGTGACAATGGCTTCCCCACCCTCCAGGGACTAGAGCAGTACAGAAAGAGATACAGTCTAGACACAGAAGAGAGGTAGCCCGGTGTTTCAGAGAGAAAGACCTAGAAAGAGAGAGGAAGGTGGAATACTAATGAAGGAGAGGTCATCGGGCAGTCCCAGGGGACAGAGCTTTAGAGGGGCAGAGTCCGGGATCAAAGAGAGGAGCGGAGCGTTCCAGGCCGCCGATGAGGGCTGAAGGATGAGCACACAGAGATGGCCGCCGCCCAGGGAGAGAGCCTGCGAGGCAGCAGTGCTGAGTACAGACAGGCTGGTGCTTGGGAGGGAGGGGTACAGTGGTTCCTTCATTCAGCTTCTGGTTTGGGGTGGGGTCTGGAGGCCAGTCAGGCCAGAGGTGTCCCCAAGGAACCCTAGCCCAGCCCTCCCCCCATGGCAGCTGCTCCCCACGTGCTGGGGGCCTAAGAATAGCCCCCCCAGCAAAAGGGCAGACAACAGCTGGGACGGGGAGGGGCATCAGGGTCAGGCTCCCGAGGCTGGGAAAAGCCAGGTTAGGGAGGAGGATCACTGTCAGCTGGACAGAGCTGTGGCACCAGGCCCAGAAATGACGACGACACCAAGGTCTGAGGAAGAAAGAAGCAGACAAGAGAAATGTGGCAGTGGCAGAAATGAGACAGCGAGGCTTAGAAACATGGCAGTGGATAGAAAAATACAGCTCCGGGGTGGGGAAAGAGGGCGGACGGCCATAGAAATGTGGCAGCGAGAACAGTAAAAGGAGCCAGGGGAACGAATTAGCAGCAGAAAGAAGAGATCCTGGCAGAGAGCATCACGATGGGCTGGGGAGAGAAATGTGGCAGCAAACAGAAACAAGGCAGCGGGGACACAGAGACAAGACATGTAAAACGTGTGGTTCTGAGGACGGAAAGGAGGCAGCGGGGGGCGGAGGGCAGCAGTTCTGGAAACTAAGCAAGGGACAGGAAAAATGGTGTGACGGAGACAGGAAAAGATCGTGGTGGGAAAAACGAACGGCAGATAGAGAAATCAGGCGGCGAGTAAGAACTGAGCAGCAGACGCAGAAACAAGATGGCGGGGCTGAGGCAGCAAGCTCCGACACGTGCCCGTGGGTGGGACTGGCATACGCGCTGTGCCCAGACACTGGTAATGCCCTAAGCCTCCCCATGGGTCCCCACAGGCATATTTCGGGCGCTGGCTGATCGAGGGCAGCCCCCTCGTGGTACTCCTCGACGTGGGGGCCTCGGCCTGGGCCCTGGAGCGCTGGAAGGGGGAGCTCTGGGACACGTGCAACATCGGGGTGCCCTGGTACGACCGCGAGGCCAACGACGCCGTCCTTTTTGGCTTCCTCACCACCTGGTTCCTGGGTGAGGTAGGCCCCACTGCCGGTCGCCATGTCACCCTTTTTAACCTCAGGCCCAAAACTATGATGGCAATCATCCCCCCGGCCAGAGCGGGGCTGGTTTCTCCCAGGGCATTCTGGGAGTTGAGTCCTCTAACCCAAGGACTCAAATTCCCAATTCCAGCTTCATTCACTCTGAGTATAGGAATTCTGGGCCATTAGCTCCTGGGGAGGTTGGCCCAGCTGGAGGGCTCAGCCCAGGAAATTCTGGGGGTTTTAGTGATTGAACTTGACTCTCAGGTGGGGCTCTGGATCTTTAGGAAACCCCAGTTTTCATGAGAACTAGGAGACCTGGTTCTGACCCCCTTTTAGATTTTAGAAGGCTCAAGACACTTCATTTCCCCTATCATGGGACAAACAGTATCTGAACTGGCTGCTTCTAGGGCATTCGGGGAGTTGTAGTCCTTTGGCCAGGATTGGCTGTGGGTCGACTCGTGACGGAGCTAAAAGGTCTCTAGGAATTGTGTCCCAGGACCTATGGACAGTAAAACTTCAATCTTTCCAAATCAGCCTTGCCGAGACTTAGAAGATTGTCTGAAAATAAGCCCAGCTCCCATCAGCCTCCGGGGATGGGGTCAGCCGCCCCAGGAACGTACAGTTCCTCGTCCTGTGGGGATTGCAGCAGGCCACCATCCACTCCGTGTGGTGGCGGTGACAGACTTACCTCTCCCCTGCTTCCTGGTCCACGTTGGGGACTGCTGCTTGTCCTCACAGCACGCATGGAGACACAGCACAGCCCCGTTCCCTGTTGCCCCACAGTTCCTGGCCCAGAGCGAGGAGAAGCCGCACGTGGTCGCACACTTCCACGAATGGTTGGCGGGCGTCGGGCTCTGCCTGTGCCGCGCCCGGCGGCTGTCTGTGGCCACCATCTTCACCACCCACGCCACGCTGCTGGGGCGATACCTGTGTGCTGGCGCTGTGGATTTCTACAACAACCTGGAGAATGTGAGCTGGGAGTGCGGCCGGTGGGGGCTGCCAATATTTGAGAACAGCATAACACTGTGTACAAAGCCCTGGGAGATGGAGCTCCCTCTTCTCCTAGGACCCAGGAGTCAAAGTCCCCAGCACCCTCCTCCCTCAGACCCAAGAGTGCAGGTTCCAGCCCCAACCTCCGCCAGGAGTCTGCACCAGGACCCAGGAGTCAAAGTCCCCAGCACCCAAGAGTCCAGGTTCCAGCCCCAACCTCCGCCAGGAGTCTGCACTGCACCTCCAGGCTTCTACCCAGTTTTCCTAACCTGACATCTCTCTTCTCCACCCAGTTCAACGTGGACAAGGAAGCGGGTGAGAGACAAATCTATCATCGCTACTGCATGGAGCGAGCGGCAGCCCACTGCGCTCACGTCTTCACCACTGTGTCCCAGATCACTGCCATCGAGGCTCAGCACCTACTCAAGAGGAAACCAGGTAGGGGGACAAGCTGGGGTCCCTAGACACGAACAAGACAGGTGACTGCGCAAAGGCCGTATCAACTTTCTCACTGTGAAGAGCAGGGAACTACAACTCCCAGAAGGCCCTATGTTCGTGACCTGAATACGAGGCTTGCCTGGCTGTTTACCATAGAGACTAATGGGAAATGTAGTTTCGTTGATATTAATCTCAGAAATGGTAAAATTCTTTTATTGGCTAATGTAGATATGGGTCTTCTGAAAGAGGGTAGAGGGTCATTGGATTTTGTTTCTGAGAAAAGCAGTGTTAGAACCACTTACTCTTCCTAAATTATAGCCTCAATTCTCAATGGATGTAAGGCAAGAACTATAACTCCCAGAAGGCCTTTGGGCTGCTCAGCTCCTTGTAGTCCTGGAATTGTACCCTGGGAGCTGATGGGGGTTATAATTTTTCGTTGATATGCTTTCATTTCTGTGAGGATAGAAAAATGGTTTTGACCATAAAGGAGGCCTGAAGATAGAGGATATATTCTAGGAGAAGCAGGATGGGGATGTTTAATCATTCCCACCTCTGGGTGGAATGAGACAAAAAAAAAAAGAACTACAGCTCCCAGAAGCCCCAGAGTAGATTAGTTTCCTGTTTGGTTAGTCATGTGCAGGGGCTGATGGGAGCTGTAGGTATGCTTATGAACATGAGCGAGTAATATTGTGCAAGAAGGCATCCGAGAGGCAGGGCAGCCGTGTCACCGAGGGAACTCCTAGAGGAGCTACTGAAACAAAGAAAGGAAGGGGTCTTTCCTTCATTTATTCATTCAACCACATTGACCTGAACGAAGAAATGAAACATGGGACCATCTCTCTCATTCCCAGATATCGTGACCCCCAATGGACTGAATGTGAAGAAGTTCTCTGCCATGCATGAGTTCCAGAACCTCCATGCTCAGAGCAAGGCCCGAATCCAGGAGTTTGTGCGGGGCCATTTTTATGGGTACGTGGGCCAGATCCCTAGGTCTCGGGAGAGAGGACAGGTTGGGGGCTCCGCCTCTTGATTTTCCGAGTGCCAGAACAATAGCTGAGTATTGAAGGAGATCCCCAGCTGAGCATTAAAGAACCACAAATCCCAGGAGTCTCCATGTGGCCTCCACTCCATCTGTGGTCTTCTTTGCCCCTGGAGCTTCTGGGATTTGTAGTTTCAAGGCCAGGACTTGAGGGCGAGGGTCTCAGCCTCACCTGGCCTGGTGTGGCTTCTTTAGGCACCTGGACTTCAACTTGGACAAGACCTTGTACTTCTTTATCGCCGGCCGCTACGAGTTCTCCAACAAGGGGGCCGACGTCTTCCTGGAGGCCTTGGCCCGGCTCAACTATCTGCTCAGAGTAAGGCCTGCCTGGGCTGCCAGGGGACAAAGAGAGGACGAGAAAATCAGTACATAAGTGGCGGGAACAGAGACCCAGGGAGGTGGCGATGGGGAACCCCTTTGACATGAAAGGGCATGCCAGCGTCCTGACGGTCTTGGGTGGTGGAAAAGGGTGGATGGCCTCAGCCTCCCCGCACGTGACCCTGACCCGCCCGCTTTCCTCCGCCTCAGGTCAACGGCAGCGAGCAGACGGTGGTCGCCTTCTTCATCATGCCGGCTCGGACCAACAATTTCAACGTGGAAACCCTCAAAGGCCAGGCCGTGCGCAAGCAGCTTTGGTCAGCAGCCCGCGGCCCGGGGTCCCAGCTGTGTGCTCTGGGTCCAGTGGAATCTTAAGTTTTGTCATTTGTAACGTGAACATCCGGCCCCACCAATTTCTAGTGAAGTCACTTTGCTCAAGACGCCTCCGGCTCGGTGGCAGTAAGAAGTCGCAGGCAGGACAAGTGTGACAGCAAGACCAGGGCTCTGATATCAAACCAGCGAGGTCCAACTCGTGCCACTGACCCTTGCTGGCTTGGCGACTTTAAGCAAACCACTCCCCCTCCCTGAGCCTCAGTTTCCTCACCTGTGAAACCCATTCATTAGCCAGCAGGTGTTCAGTGAGGACCTACTATGTGCCAGGCACTGTTCCAGGCCCTGGGACACACAGCTGGGAACAAAAAAGATAAAATCCCTTCTCTCGTTGAGCTCACATTCTAGAAAATTCTATAGAAAGTGCCAAAAAAAAAAAAAAAAGGCTATGACAGTGTTGTGCGGACAGGCCACACTGAGAAAGTGCCATTGGGTAGAGACCAATAGAGGAAATGAGGGAGCCCTGTGTCGATCTGGGGAGCGGCAAGCGCAAAGGCCCTGAGGCTGGGGTCGGAGCCGATGGGACAGGAGTGGGGCCAGAGCTATGGGAGGATTGTGACCAGAGGAACAACAGTGGGTTAGAGGGTGGCACTATTCGTCAGCTTCATCTGTGTCCATAAATTTTCTTCTCGCACATAATTTTCCCTTTTTATAAAACGGGGCTCAGTGTTGCCACCTCCAGGACTAGTACAGGTCCTAATAATAGCTGACATTTCTGGAAAGCTCGCTGTGTGCTGGGCACCGTGCACCTTTTTGTCATGACCTCATCAGTTCCCACTGCTAACCTCTGAGGTTGATTCTATTTTTATTTCCATCTGACTGATGAGTCACTGAAGTCAGAGAGGGAAGGCCACCTGTCCCTGGCCACACAGCTGATGCGAGGCACAAGGGATCTGAGCCTTCCAGGGCCTGTCTCCCAGGTCTCCATCCTCTAGCTTGGAATCCCCAGGGATTTGCTGCTCAGACCTCAGCTTCCCAGCAGCCCCAGAAACCTAACAGTAAATGGCCGGTGTGTATGTGATGTTGCTTTGCTCTTTCCAGGGATACGGCCAATGCGGTGAAGGAGAAGTTTGGGAGGAAGCTTTACGAATCGTTGCTGGTGTGAGTGCCCCCACCCTCAGCCCGGTACCCGCCTAGGCCCTGGCCCCTCTCCTCACCCCTTCTCAGATGCATGCCCCTGTCCGCCCTGCAGGGGAAGCCTCCCAGACATGAACAAGATGCTGGACAAGGAGGACTTCACTATGATGAAGAGAGCCATCTTTGCCACGCAGGTACGGTTTGGATCCCGGAGCAGAAGGATGGCGATTCCCAGCAGCCCCAGGGGCAGCTCGCTATGTCAGCTCTGACCCGGGAGATTACTGGGAGTCCTACTTTATTGGGCAGACCTTTCTAGGGAATCCATTCGGAGGTCCACAGAAGGGTGTGAGCGCTGGTTGGCCGAACTTCAATTCCCAGAAGCCTTTAGGGCCGCCTGCCTTCCCAGGGCTCATTATGCCACAGGGGCTGCTGGGAGTTGTGTTTTCTCTGAGTCCCCAGGGTCCATGCGGACTTTAGAAAGTTAAGACCGCTGGAGGAGAACCACAACTCCCAGTTGTCCTTGGGCTGTGCTGCATACCAACTCCACCTCTGCCCCCAGAGACCTCTGGGAGTGGCCGTTTCGGTGGGCCTCTTTAGGGAATGCCCAGGAGGTCATCTAAAACACTGATAACCTGAAGAACATTGAATGCACGCCGCAGGCGCTACGTCTTACCCCACCGGCTGTGTCGTAGTCCCCAAACACCCCTGGGAATTGGAGCTTCTTTAGATTCCTGAGGTTAATGGAATTATGTGGATGGGAAACTTTAGGGGAAAAAATTCAGTCACCAAATGAGAACTACAGTTCCTAGCAACCCCTGGGGCTTTCTGCCCCAGAGATTTCTGGGAGTTAGGATTCTTTCATTCTCTGAAGTCAAGCGTCTTTGTTCCCTTTGTTCGGGATTGGTGAGACATTTCCTGGGGAATGGAAAGGTTGACAGCCAAGTTTCGTAAACAAGGTGTGACCTGCTTTTAGCCAAACTAACATTTCCAGTAGTTCCCTAAAGCAGCCTGCCTCACTGAGGGCTGCTGGGGGTTACAGTTTCTTGGGCCCCTGGAGTCAGTAGACAACTAAAGGTGAGCATAGCTTTTAATGAGAGAAAGGACGGAACAGTTGCAAAGAACTCTACATTCCAGTGGTCTCCTGGGACTTCCATCATACTAGCCCTATCCTCCTTCAGTGAGAATCGGAAGAAGAATTCATTCAGTGATAATTCCCACGTAGGGAATTGTGGTTTCTTTGGGCTTCTGTTGGGATGGAGGCAGAGGCAGTGGATACAGCACAGAGAGTAAAGGGAGTTTGGAGAGAAAGAGCCAGGATTTTCATAAGAAAACGACAACTTTCGGCCACACCTGCACTTTGCTACCATATTGGCATCCTCTGTCCTGTCGACTGGGAGGAGTTATCATTCCTTGGGATTTTCTCGAAGATAGAGCCAAGGGTAGTCCATGGGGCTCGTTAACCCTGGCTCTGCCTCAAAGACAACTGGGAACTGTAGTTTCTTTTCAGCTCAGGGTGGCGAAAGGGGAAAGAACCTTCATAGACAGAGCCAAGTAGGAAATCTACAACTCTCGGTAATCTTTTGGGCTTGTTGCCCCACAGCCTGGTGGGAATTGTAGTCTCTTTGGATCCTCAGGGTCAGCAGGTGCCTTCTTTGACCCCCACCCCACTTGTGCCCCCTACAGCGGCAGTCTTTCCCCCCTGTGTGCACCCACAATATGCTGGACGACTCCTCGGACCCTATCCTGACCACCATCCGTCGAATTGGCCTCTTCAATAGTAGTGCCGACAGGGTCAAGGTGAGGGTCCTGCACTTTGCCGGAGGGTGGGGGGAGCCTGGACCTCACATTTCCCACCTCCTCTTGTTTATCGAAGGATTGCTTGCTTTGTTTAGAAAGAGCCTTAGCTTCAGAGGCAGACAGACTTGGATTCAAATCTTTGTCCTGCCACTGACTTGTGTGACTTTAGACAAGATTTTTTACCCTCCAGGCCACTCTGGGATGACAGAGAGTAGCTAATTAAGGTGCCTCAGGCTGAGCCCTTCTTTTCCACTGCCAGGTGATTTTCCACCCAGAGTTCCTCTCCTCCACGAGCCCCCTGCTCCCGGTGGACTATGAGGAGTTTGTCCGTGGCTGCCACCTTGGGGTCTTCCCCTCCTACTATGAGCCATGGGGCTACACGCCAGGTGAGTGCTGCATGGCAGTGGGGTCCTCGTCAGATCTGGCATGATCCGGGAACCAGGGACTGGCTCTGTCTGAGCCCAAGCTCATCCTTTGCAATACAGGAACAATCTTTTCTGCTACAGTGTGTTTCTGTGACACAGCAGCTCATGTGATGTGTAACTGGAAGGCTGATATCACGGTTCACATGTGATTTCCCCCAATATGCTGATGACAACGGCTTAATGCACAGTTCACTAACAAAACCGAATGTGGCTGGGGCAACGTCTCCCCGGGCTGTCCCCAGTGCCCGTCGGCTCCCCACCTTCTGAGGTTGGCTCCCTTTAGACATAGGCTCCGAGTTGCAACCGCTTATCTGCAGTTCTCATATGTTTTTAAGGCTAAATACATACCACGCTAGCTATAGTATTTCTTAATTTATGAGTAATTTAACAAGGCTTTTAAACTGTGCTTGCATGATATTTAGTTTTGCCAGTTTCGTTTCATCTGTGGTTAAAATGGTGCATCCATTTTGTGTGGTCGGACCGTACCCTATTTTCACCATAAGCCCTGTTATAGTTAATGCCTGCTTTTGCAGCCTACAGAGGTTTTTAGAAACATCATATGAGAATTATATAAACCCCTCGAAACATTTCTCAGTGCTATTTAAGAGAGTAAACAAGGCAAAGTACTTACTCTGTACACAGCGATAGTAATAATGAGACCTTTTCTTACCTCCTGTCAAAACAGACTATGAAGCTGTGATAGCCAAAACAGTATGGTTTGACACAAGAAAGCATCTTACAGGGTGTGAGAATTAAATAAAGTGGTACACATTGGTCCAAAGCTCCATCAATAAATTAGCATCCTTACCGCCCAACTATAGACTTTTCCTCATCCCGAGACCTTGGGACAAGTGGATTCCCTTTTCTGAGACCCTTAGCTGCCCCTCTAAGAAATAGGGACTATAATAAACAGTCTAACGCACAGCCTAGTTTTTCGAGCTCCTTCTGACTTGTTCAGCACAGCGCCCGGCACTTGGCAAAACTGCCAGTAGAGGGCGCCGTTGAGGCTTTTATTGCGGTTTCAGACAAGGTGGGGCGGGAAGCTAAGGAGGCCTTTCTCACTACTTCCCGCAGCTGAGTGCACGGTTATGGGCATCCCCAGTATCTCCACCAACCTCTCCGGCTTCGGCTGCTTCATGGAGGAACACATCGCAGACCCCTCGGCTTACGGTCAGCGCCCAGACTGAGAGCCAGGACTCTTGGATCCTGGGAAGGAGGACCCTTGGGTCACTAAGAGAAAACAGATCGGGGTGGACTCCTAGGTCCCCTCGGGAGGAGGGTCCTGGTGCCACAGAGTCCCAGGGAGAATGAAGGTTTCCCCAATTTGTTCTCTGAGTCCCCGTCCTGGCCCCCACAGGCATCTACATTCTGGACCGGCGGTTCCGCAGTCTGGATGATTCCTGCTCGCAGCTCACCTCCTTCCTCTACAGCTTCTGCCAGCAGAGCCGGCGGCAGCGCATCATCCAGCGGAACCGTACCGAGCGCCTCTCTGACCTTCTGGACTGGAAATACCTAGGCCGGGTATAACTCCCTTTCCTGTCCTCTGCTGGTGAATCAGCCGCTTCCGAATTCTGGGTCTCTGGTTCCTCAGTCTCAAAGGCCGGCGAAGGGGGTACGGTCTCCTCCTACTTGTCATAGTTGCTGTCCCTTTAAGAAATTAATTTCTGCCGAAGACCGCAAAAGTGTGAAGTTCTCCTATTTGCATAAGGGTGTGGCCAAGGAGCCTTGCCTCAGAGACTGTCCACTCACAGCTCTGCCTGTCTACATACGGGGTGGAGCTAGGAAATGGATGATTGGCTTAGGGGCCTAGGAGGCGGTACTTCAGAGCGTGCTCATCTGCATAAAAGGTGTGGCCAGGGTTGCCCCGCTCCAGGTCTGCCTGGGGCTGGAGCCAGGCCCGCCCCGCCCCCTGATGCCCCCTCCCCTTCTTTCCCTCAAGTACTACATGTCAGCGCGCCACATGGCGCTGGCCAAGGCTTTTCCAGAGGACTTCACCTACGAGCCCCACGAGGCTGAGGCGGTGAGTGGACCCAGGTTCTCTGGTGGGCCAGGAGCTAGAGGGCTGGGCTTGGGGGTGGGGGTGGGGGTTCCTTCCTAGAGTCAGAAGGCCTCGGGGGTGGTGGATTCCTGGGCAGAACTGGGGGCCACCGCTCACTTTGCCCTTTGTGCTCATGTCCCCATACACAGACCCAAGGCTACCGCTACCCACGGCCGGCCTCAGTGCCGCCGTCGCCCTCGCTGTCTCGACACTCGAGCCCGCACCTGAGCGAGGATGAGGAGGATCCCCAGGACCGGCCACCAAATGAAGACGGTGAGCGCTACGACGAGGAAGAGGAGGCTGCCAAGGACCGGCGCAACATCCGTGCCCCAGAGTGGCCGCGCCGCGCCTCCGGCTCGTCCTCCACGGGCGGCGGAAGCAAGCGCGGCTCAGTGGACACGGTGCCTTCCAGCTCAGTCAGCACCCCCAGTGAACCCCTCAGCCCTGCCAGCTCCCTGGGTGAGGAGCGCAACTAGGTCCCCTACCCCACACTCCTCGCCCGCCGGGGCCTCGCTCATCCCGAGGGCGGATGCAGAACTGTGCTGCTCATAACCCCCACTCCAGATCCCGAACCTTCCACTGGAAGGTTCACAGCCCCGCCCCCTCCGCTATACACTCCAGCCCCTCCAGCTCAGCTCTTGGAATCCCCAACACTCCAGAATCCACAACGCGGTGCCTTTCTTGGGTTCCAGAATGTATCATTTGTGCCCTGGAGTCCCCTAGGCCTGGCCTGGGTCGGAGTGTCCAGGAATCTGCCATTGTCCCGTCATGGTGCCAGAGGTTTTAGGAAACCCCGTCTGTTGCCTTCTAGAGCCCTTTGTGGCTTATAATTCTGCACCCTACTGAGCACACCCTGCTAAGGCCTTGCCTGGGGACCGCCAAGCCCTGGAAACCACGTGGTGTCCCTGGTAACGAGACAATCAAGTCCAAAGCTGGAGCACTTTCAAAGACTTGAGTGCAGAAGGTCCTCTTTTTCAACTCCAGAACTGGGGCTCCAGGACAGGGCACTCATGTTTTCACTCTGTTCTTGCCCTCCCTGGGGTATCTGGCTCTGCCTGGAGGATCCCTCTCCCACCTGCTTCCCTCCTCCTCCTCCACACTTCTGCCAAGCAAGGGAGGCGCAGAACCACTTGGCTTCTCATTTCTCTTGGAGAACATACGGTCTTGGTCCCCATGTCCTTCTGGCCTTTTCTGGACCAGATCCTACTCCTTCCGTGAGTCCGATTTCTCTCCCTGGATCTCGAGACTCCTGTGCCCTCTAGGGAGAATCCCCTTGCTAAGGACAAAACTGGCTGTCTTCTACCCCCACAACCGCCAGGCCCACCATGAAACCACTGGGTTCTAGGTCCTGGCTGGTGAGTCTAGAACCTTACCACTAATGCTGCATCCTGGTCCCCTTCCCATGGTCTAGAACTGCGCCCACTGGGTTCTAGAACCTCCATTTTTACCTCGAGGCTCTTCCATCCCCAAGCTGTGCCCTGCCCCCAGCTTTGGTGAAAGGGAGGTGCCCCCTCACGCGTGCCGTGCTGTGTCTTATGCACTTGGTTTGTAGTTGGGAGGGTGGGGGCAGAAAGGGTGTGATTGAAGTGTGTGCGGAGAAGAAAAAATACAACTATATTTAAGAATCCCAGGTCTGGTCCAACGTGAGGACTTGGTGGGCATCGCACTCAGCCCCTCCCTCCTCTTTACCTCCCCTCTTCCTCCCGCTGCCCCGATCCCTTGTCTCGTTCCGCTGTCATGGAGACTTGGATTGCTATTCTAGATTCCAGTGTTCTTTCAAGGGAAGGCACCCCTGTCTTTTATTTAATTGGGACCTAACTTGCAAGTGGCCAAAACTTGGCTCAAGCTCTTTGGCAGACAAGGGCCGTGTCACTGGAAAAAGGGTCCATAGGGTACCCACGAGACACGTGTGGATCTTTAGGTTAACGAAATTCCTCGGCACCGCTTGGTAGCCACAGGTAGCCACATGTGGCTCCCTATTCTAATGCAGATGTAGAACATTTCTGTCACTGCAAAAAGTTCTGGACAGCACTTAGAGCATGTTTCCAGGGCTCTGCCCGCTCTGGGCTTTGACCCTACTGTCCCCCGGATAGAGCTCTATTTTCGAGATAAATCTGCTTTTTTAGTCTTCCCTAGGTCTACGTCATAGGTGCATCTCTGAACCAACTGATTTTCAGGGGAGTAGAAAACTCCGATTGTTTGGATTCGGGTGTAAGGATCCTTTCTGTTAGCCAGTGTGACAGACACAAGCCCCCTCCCCCACCAGAATCACCAGTGGCCACCAAAGTGCGGTGACAGGGGCACGGTTCTGAGTGGACGAAAGAACATGTGTCCAGCAGCCACCTCTCAGATTCTCCCACCAAAAACATGGAAAGGTCAGGGGTCAGAGTTGACATTGTTTGGTAACTGGGACTCAAGTTTCCTAAGTCATCCTCGAGCTTCTTCAGTTCCCTTTTGGATGATTTGGCCCCCAACTTTCACATCCCATTTCTGTACTTAGCTCAGCACCTCTTGCACATCAGGTGCTCCCAGCCCCAGATCCCTCTTTCTTCCTGTTTTGTCTTCAAGCAACTTTTGGAGGTCAGATCTGGGTGCCTCCCAGCTGCTGTGGGCAATTTACATAGTAATAGCCTCAACTCAGCCTTATGGAGCTGGTAATTCTATTTAAACCTTTCTGGATTGAGCGGGACTATATAGAGCACAGTATCTGGCCACACAGTATGGTTACTGTGGGTATCTCTCGGTGTTTGCTTCTAGCCATCAGCCCCAGGTCTTACCAAACTAGACCCTGGGCAGCACTTAGCCTGGCAGAAAACCCCACAGGTGAGAGATGAAGCCTTAGGACAGGAAAGGGTGGTGGGGCCGACTCCCACTGGCCTGGTCCAGCTAGCCTATCAAAATAGATCCCACCCTTGCTTCCCACAGCCAGCACATGTGCCCGCACACACAAAAACAGCTGTTGCAAAAAGCTTTATTGTTTCAATTTGGTCCAAGTCATGGTAGAGGGCTCCAAGATGGTTGGAAGGCTGTCTACTGGTTGCAGGGAGAGGTTCAGGCACAAGGCCAACACCAAGGGGATGCAGAGGGGCCCCCTCAAAAGCCTCTGGGCTCCAAAGGCTCTTAGTCATGCTTGAGGGTGAGCCTTTCGAAGAGATATTCGCCCAGCCCAGCCTGGGGGCAGGCCAGCCTGCGGAGGTTAGTCAGGTGGTCGCCCATCTTCTTGATGAGTTTCACCTCCTCATCTAGGAAGTGGGTCTCCAGGAAGTCACAAAGCTGTGAGAGGAAAAACAGAAAATGCTGCCACTTGCACCTAACCGTGTGACTGATGGGGGAACGAGGTTCGGAAGGAAATTTGACAGAGGAGGCCAGGACTGAGGATGTAGAGTGCATTCCAGGGAAGGTCTTAGGATGGGCAGACTTGGATGAAGGAGGCACTTACATGGGGGTCTGCGTGGGCAGAACCCAGGGCATGAAGATCCAGAAGGGCCTGGTTCAGGTTCTTCTCCATGATCATAGCGGCTTCCATGGCATCCTGAGTTCTACCCCACTCATCTTGAGAAGGTTTCTACACGGAAGACAGGGGCGGCTCAGAACTGGCCACATAACCCACAGAGGACTAACACTTGCTCGCAGCTGCGGGGGTAAAGCGCTTAGCCCAAGAGACATCTACCGCACCCGAACCCGCACCCCCCAGTCTCCTACAACTCCATGCGCCATGAGACCACGGCGCGGTCTTGGAATGGGCTGCTCCACTTTTAGCCATAATTAAAAATCCACACAAGGCCGAAAACCTCCTAGAAGCCCGAGCGATGCCTAAACCGCGGCGGTCAAGGCGCCTGGGTGCAGGGACGGCTGGGAGATGTCGTCCGCAGCCCACACCCCACTGACCTGCAGGTCCTGGAAAACGGCACGGCCGCCACGCTGGCTTTGCATCTTCAGGAGACGCTGGGCGCCCTCGCGTTTCTCTTCGGCCAACTTGCGAAAGAAGTGACCCACGCCTTCCAGAGCCACATCGTCGCGGTCGAAATAGAAGCCCTGCGGGAAGAAATGGCGAGAACAATGGTCAGCCGGAGGCCAGCGGGCTCCGCCCACCCGCTCCCCAACGGGACAAAGCAGGCCCGCGCACGCGCACAAGGCTGGAGGTGCGCGGAGCGGGGAAACTTAGGCCCCGGGCGTCCGAGAGACCCTCACCAGAGAGAGGTAGGTGTAGGAGGCCCGCAGATACAGGTTGACCAGGCGGTTGACGGCGGCCTCCACCTCGGTGGAATAATTCTGACGGATCTGAGAGCTCATGGTTGTTAGGCAATAAGGAATTAAGCTCAAAACACGGTGATGACTGGTCTCGCAGGCCAAGGATGGTTGAGAAGGTTCCGAAGTTTGCGACTGGAAAAAAGGTTGGAGGGTGGTCGAAGACTGGAAGAAGGAGCGTCCCTGGGTCTGTTCCGTCCAAACACTGTTGAAGCAAGAGACAGATCCGGGGGACCGCCGAGGGCACTGCGAGAGGCAGTGACCAAGGCGGCTTCTTTTATGGCGCGCGGGCCTCTGGAGGTGGGGCGTTTGGGGAGAGCAATTGGCCAATCCGCGGTGGCGGGAGGCGAGGTCTGGAGCCCGCACGTGACCAATCCGGAGCAGGGGAGTCCCAGACTCCGCCTTCCGCCACCCCGGAGGTGGGGAAGTCACGCGCCTGTAGCTCGCGGTTGTTGTGAAATGGGGAATTGAGAAGGGGCGGTGGTGGGGGAAGGTTCACAGGGACTAAGGGCCTAGCACTGATTCTGAATAGTCAGGGGATTCTTGGGGTCTCTGTGGTAGGTGGAAGATTATTGACACTGGGACCCCTGGAAAATGAAGACCCTGGGGTCCTTGGGAGGGTCTCAGGAAAAGTAGGTTGGATTCTGGGGTTGTCTCCTAGAGCATGAACTTTTCTGGGGCTCTGGGAGTTCCTCAGAGGTGGAGGCCTCCAGATTGCCGGGGTTTGCTTTGGGAGATGAGGGGTCCCAAGATAATTTGGATGTGTGGGGGCGTTTCTGTAGCCTTAGTGTTCACTATGGAGGGTCGTATTTTTCTGGAAAGTTCCTGGGGAAGGTCTTTAGGCCCTTGAGGTGATCTGCGAGATTAAAAAGAGTGGGGGACAGGGATGTCTCTGGAACCCTACTAGGGACTCTGTTTTCTTGTTTTTTTTTGTTTTGTTTTGTTTTTAAGAAGTAGAGGTCTAGGAGAGCCCCTGAGAAAGAATCTGGGACTCTTGGAATACTTTGGGGCTACTTCAGGGCCCCATTGTTTTTCTGGGAGCTGAGATGGGGAGGGGTGAAATGACAAGCTTCAGTGTCTCTCTGAGGCTGTGTTCCCTGGGGACTATTTTGAAAGCAGCCAGAGACGTTGGGAATTCTCTCTGGCTCTGAAGCCATCTTTGTGAAGTTGTCTTGCCTGAGACAGGCTCCTTCCGGGTGACAAAGAGAAGCCCTGGGGTGTGGGAAAACGAGGATCTGGGGACCTGTGGATGGGATGTGTGTCTTCGACCAAAGTACATTTTTAAAGTGTGCCAGGTCCGGGCTGGCTGGCTCACACCAGGACTCAGCCTGAAAGGAGAACCCTTTTGTGGTCAACTGAACGGACAGAACTTGACCCCACTTCGGTGCCCTGATGGAGGTCGGGGTGTTGCGGGGAAGAGGTCGGGCCCTGCTTTACAGGGAAGCCACCCCAACAGCCTAGTCAGGGTGCATCCTGAACAGGGCAGGGGGCGTGGGGAGGGGGGGCAAAAAAAAGTCTGGGGTCCTGGAGGGGTGTCTGGGCCAGTGTCCGAGAGAGCAGAGGTGCTGAGTCATGCTGATCTCAGCACAGGAAGGGGCTCAGGCAGAAGGGTGGGTGGGGCCGGCCACTGACCTCATCTCCTTGGTGGGACGGCAGTCTGGCTGGGACCCTGCGATCTAGGCCTGGCTGGCTCGGACCCAAGTCTGGCCCCCTCCCCCAAAGTACCGCCTGGAGTGTTCTTTGTCTCCAAGTCTTACTGTCTTTTTAGTTCCCGTGATGTTTTTCCTGGGCTGCAGCTTGTGTCCATATTGTCATCTACTCCCAGCTGTGATGACTGAGTCCCTCACTGCTATCTTATCCGGCTGACATCTCTCCCCCCAGACTCGGTGTCTCTGGGGAGAGTGCATGGGGGCGGGGCAGTTGCCCTAGGCACACAGTCACAAAGGAGCCTAAGTTACTCATTCACAGGGTGTCAAACCTCAGCCTGAAGACCTTTAGCCTCGGGCTGGCCACACCAGTGGGAAGTGCTCAGAGGTAGGGGAAGCCGAGGGGATGAGACAGATGATCTGAAGGACAGACAGAGAGATCTTAGGGTTGGGGCGGAGGTCCTGGGGGTCTGTGGGAAGGCCAGAGATCCAGAGAGGGGGACAGAGACCCAGAGACACTGGGATAGAGACAGAAGGGGTCTAAGGCTCAGAGGGGAAGATAAGGGAACAGAAAGATCTATTGAGAGGGGAACAGAGACCTAGGAAGAGAGACAGAGACCCAGAGAAAAACAGACTGACTCTTCAAGTGACCTCATTCTAATCCTGATTCCCCTTCAATCTTCTAGGCCTTTCCGAGTTCAGCATCTCCCCTGGGCCCTGCTCCTTTCCTGGGGGGAACCACTCACTAGTACCTCGGAGCTGCTCCTCCTTCAGACCCTCTCCCCACAGCCTTGTCCCCCATCACAGGTTTGGGCCGGGTCTTCTCCCTTCGACCCCTCATCCCAGCCTCCCTACCTCCAGTAGCTTCCATGTAAGGGTCCAGACCCCGCCGCCCCCCTTCTCTGCTCAGTAAAAGTGCAACTTCCTATGTGGTGGAAGCATCTAGGCCCTCCTTCCCCCAGGCACGGGAGGTATGCTGTTTTCTGACCCACCCCCTCAACCCCAGGCTCCTCTGCCTGGCTCCAATACAATACCCTGGGCTGCAACTCCTGTTCTGAGTCACCTGTGTTCCCCTTGGGACTGCAGGATCAGGGAGGGCTGGGACCTAACTCATCACTAACTCACAGAGGGCACCGGGCACCCTCAGAAAAAGATGTCAGCGTATGGAGCCTTGTCTCTTCCGCCAGCCAGAGAGAGGGCCCAGTGACTCAGACACTGAAGTGTGGCCCCCAAAGAGGTTTATTACCCCCTCCAGACCACTCCTCCCCATCCCGCCCCCAATAATTACAAAAGTAAGAAAAATGCCCCTGGTCCCCCGATCCCCACCCCGCCCAGAAAAATTCCATAATTTATGCAGAAAACATAGTCCAAGGCAGCTGGTGGCCTCAGCCCATCTTCTTCCAGATAACGGTTAGTGAGGCAGTGAGCATTCCGGTCACGAGAATGGTCACTGTCTGCCACGTGGGTGTCCCAAAGTAGGAGAGAAGGCCGTCCTGGGGACAGGGACACCAGTCACTTCAGCAATTCGGCCATGGGCCAGGACATCAAGGATCAGGGAGAGGTCAGAGGGCATGAATAGGGGCAAAGATCTAAGACTAGTGGGTTCTGCAGAGTTAGGGTGAAAGGGTTATTATCAAAGAACTTGATTCTAGAGGAAGGTACCAAGGAGGTACTAGTCAGGTCAAGGGTCACTGGGAGGTCAGGGGTCACCGGGAGGTCGGGTCACAGAGGTCAGCAGGGACCAGATGAATCGGGTTGATCAGACATGTAAGGAAACACATTACAGACTACATCTGAAGATCCAAAAACGGGGATCCATGGCACCACTGTGGGGGGCTCAGGAAGACCCAAGGGTCCCAGAGAAGTGGGGGAAGGAGTTAGGGGCCTCACCCAACCACCCTGGTCCTGGATCCAGCCCAGCAGCCGCTCTCGAAGGAAGTCCAGTGTCCAGCCCATGATGGTTCTTATCAGCTGGGGCACTTTGGTGCACAGGGCCTGCGGGGAGTCAGGTAGGCCTTAGGGACTAAGCCTTGTCCCCACTGCCTTGGAAGAGTGGCCCCAAGCCTCCTTTCTCTTTGCCTCCCGTCCTGCCCACCCCCCTGCGGTCTCTTTTCCACTCACAGTCAGAATGAGCTTCATATACTGTAAACTGGATCTTGTTCACAAACTGCCCTGCTCACAAACTTTCCATGGCTCCCCAGTACCCTTGGGATAAAGACCAAAAGGCGTAACTTGGCCCACGAGGCCTTGCGCGCAGGCTCGGACTCAACAGCAATCCAATTTATGGCTCTTCTGTGCCTCAGTGACCTTCTTTCTTATCTTCATTCTCACCGAACCCTCCCCTGCCCTTTGCACATGCCAGATTCTTCTGCCTAAACGGGACTCAACCCATTGAATTTTTCATCCCTCAAAACTCAGGTCTAATGCCACTTCCCCGGAGGGGACTCTCTGACCTTCAGACCAGGTAAGACCCGACACCCCCATAACCATGACTTGCTCTCCAACTCTTTGGGCTTCCCCTTCCCACTCTGTCTAGCTGCTTCTCTCCCGTTGTCCCCAGCTCCACACGCGCCCCACCATCGCCCTGACTGCTGTCCCCCTCACCTGCGACATTCAACCCCCATTCGGTCCGTCTTGTGACTACATCAAGAAGTCTACTTCTTCCCAACCTGATGACTGAGTCCCGGTCGGTCATCGTTTGCAGGGACTGTTCCAGGTGCCCCCCTTTTTGCCCTTGTGCCCCATAATCTCTTTTTCTACCCACAATGGCCAGAACAACTCGTTGGGCTTCCCTTCCCCCGATATTTTATCATGAGAATCTTCAGAGAGAAAAGTTAAAAAGACTTCACAGTGAATAGCCATATATACCTGCAACCTAGATTCTGCAATTAACATTTTGCCATACTTCACAATAATCTTTTAAATTTATAAATCAGGTCACCTCAATCTTCTGTTTAAAACCAGTCACTGTCACCTCAGAGTAAAGCTAAAGTCGCTACAGTGGGCCTCCTCCAATGTATCCTCATCTCCCACCCATCGCCGTCCCAACCACAAGGATCTCATTGCCCTCAACATACTTCGCTTGATCCTACCTCAGGGCCTTTGCACTTGCTGTACCCTTTCCCAGATCTCTTTCCCCGCAGTCCTTACGTGTTACTGTATCTTTCTTGTCTTTCCAACTTTTGGCTTTAATGTCACCTCCTCTTAGAAGTCTTTCCCGATTACTTTGCAGTCACATGACTCTAGCTTATTCCCCTAAGCATCTGTCATTTGATGTGGGCTCCACAAGAGCAGGGGACCTAGCCTGCTTGGTTCAGTGCTGCGTCCTGGGTGCTGAGTACAGACCAGGCACGTAGTAGGCCCAATAAATGTTTGTTGGATGAATAAATGAATAAAGGAGCCGACAGCCGGCCCGTCGCTGCCTGTCTCCGTCCTCTCCAGGCCGCTACGGGGGGTTGACCTCACGACTCCCAGGTCCCCGTCGCCCTGAGGGCAGCCGCCCCGGGGCTCACCGCCATGCAGCCGCCCACCTTGAGCACCAGTTTGCTGGCAAAGTAGAACAAGGCGACAACCCGGCCCCAGTTGAAGTTGCCATCGGAAAACATCTCGGACGCTACTCGGA